AAGTTGTTCCATGTCAGCTTCTACTTCCGAGCTTTGAATGCTCCCCAGGCTCCAAGGGAAGCTGGGCACCCGGTAACCAGAGCCAGGGTCCTCTCGATAAAGAGGAAAACGCAGTGTGGGACCAGCAGTAACCCACACATTCTGAGAACTGGGGATGAGCATGGGCCTCACAAACTGAAGAGAAAAGCTAGCAAGTTAAGAGCCTGGCAAAGACCCCGATGGACGTGCTATTGTGGGAACACACAAAAGGGATACCTAACCTGAGAGGCCACCGTGGCTGAAGGGAGTGATGGCCGAGAGCCAGGGGAGAGAGCAAGCTCAGAAATTTGAAGTGACTCTGGGTCTTGGCTCGGAGTGGAGGTAAATGCAGAGGGGCGATGGGGGGCATTCAGAGACCACCTTAAGGAATCTGCAGTTACCGTTACAGGAGTGAGAAGTCATCGAGGGGCTTTACATGGGACAGCCTTTGCTTGCTGGAGCGAAAATAATTCATTCGGTAGCAATTATTTCTGAGTGCCAGTGGACTAGCCATCCTGATCTCTAGAGTGAATCATGAGACAGTCCCCCAGGTGGGCTGGCCGGTGCCTCTGGGAGCTGGCCGCTTAACCCTGCCCCCCAACTACTTGAAAATTCTTACAAAATTTTGAAGGAAAAATAAGAGGAGAGTTTTCTTAGATTCTAACGAACTTTATTTCTACCTAGCTGTACATAACTATAAACTGCTAGAACAGTGAATCTGATTAAAAAAAACAGATGACATAGTTAGACCAATAAACTAGGGAATGTAAAAGTGATAAATCCTAAAACCGTACTAATTAAAGCCTCAGGGGCTAGAAAGAGGATCAGCTGAAAGTGTTTGCTGTACAAGAAGAAAACCTGCTTGATCTCCAGCTGGGGGTGTGGAGGCAGGACCCCGGGGCTTGCTGGCAGCCAGTCTAGCTCCAGGTTCAGTGAGGGAGAGAGAGTAAAGAAGACACTAGATGCCAACCTCTGGTCTCCACACATTGGACAATGAACATATAGAAACACACACAGAACAAAACCTTGAATGTTATCTTCAGGGCACCACCTGAAAGGCAAGCGTGGGCTGCATGTGGTAATGCACACTGGTGGATAGCCCAGTAGTCAGGGGGCCGAGGAAGAGGATAGCCCAGTACACAGGGGGCCGAGGAAGAGGATAGCCCAGTACTCAGGGGCCCGAGGAAGAGGATAGCCCAGTACTCAGGGGGCCGAGGAAGAGGATAGCCCAGTACTCAGGGGGCCGAGGAAGAGGATCGCTGCAAATTTCACTTCCAAACAAACAGCTTTGAAGTACAACTTAGATCAGAGAATAACAGAACGCCCTTCATTACAGTACTCCCTGTTTCAGTATCTAATGAATTAGCTTTTCAAAGACAAGGACATCGTGTTCTCCAACCAGCACGGTCATTTGCAATCCACACTCCACTTGCTCACTCTTTCTTTCTTTCTTTCTTTCTTTCTTTTCTTTCTTTTTCCTTCTTTCCTTCCTTCCTTTCTTCCTTCCTTCCTTCCTTCCTTTCCTTCCTTCCTTCCTTTTTTTCTTTATTACAGAGAACTTGATTGCATTTTGCCATTATCTACAGCTTAATTCCTTAGTCTCAACTATCTCCCTTCAACAAATGGAAGCTTTTCAAGAGCAGGCATTTTGCTTTGTCACAATTCTGGCTAATAGTGCCTAGGACTCCTAAGACGCTAAAGTGTTAGCAGAAGTTGCAAGTTTCATCAACAGCGCTTTTTCCCTTGCCTGTCTTCTGCCAAGTAAAAGCCAAATCCATCCTGAAGGCTGGCATGTTGCCTCTCCGCTCTCCCAGGTAAAGGAAGAGAAGCAGATTGTTGCGAGGCAGTGATTGTACGCCAGAGTTTCAGCAAGTCAATCTACTTTCCAAAGAGATAAAGGAATTTTACCTTCCAACCTGAGACTTTGAGAGCTATGGACACAGGCTCAGTGTATTCACTTATTCACTCCAAACAAAGGTAAACGCTTGGCTAATGTCACAGTTGATTAATCTGGGCAGCCTACCATAATTAGATCAGGTAGAAAGCACCCTGGTGGCAGATCTGAAGTCTGGAAAGACCATGATGATCTTAGCCTGAATCTAAATGTCCCCAAGGAATGCCATCAAGACCCTTGCAGTACGTTCATTAAAATCCAGCCTTTTTGTTTTTGCTTGTTTTTGGAGAAAGGGTTTCTCAGTGTAACTGTTGTGTCCTGGAACTAGTTCTGAAGACCAGGCTGGCCTTGGACTCAGAGATCTACCGGCCTCTGCCTCCTGAGTGCTGGGATTAATGGTATGTGCTTAGATTAACTGCTGTCTTAGATTCAGCAGTTAAATTAGCTGCTGTCTTACATTCAGCCTTTTATCTCACCCCATTTAAAAATTATTACAGATCTTTTTAAAAAAGATTTTTCAATATTGTCTTTTAAAATAAATTTTTTTTTCTCATTGAAAAAACTATGTGGGTTGGGCAGTGATGGGCACACCTTTAATCCCACCACTCGGGAGGCAGAGGCAGGCGGATTTCTGTGAGTTCGAGGCCAGACTGGTCTACAGAGTTCCAGGAAAGGCTCTACAAACTCCAAAGCTACACAGAGAAATCCTGTCTCAAAATAAATAAAGAAAAAGAAAAGGAAAAGCGATGTGACAATTGTAATTTTTAAATTAATTTATTGCCAGACAGGGTCTGTGTAGCTCTGGAACTCACTATGGAGACCAGAATGACCTTGAACTCAAGAGATCTGCCTGCTTCTGACTCCTGAAAAGGTGCGCACCACCGACGTGAGGTCTCTCTTACCTGCCCCACCATGCTGGGGATCAAATCTAGAGTCTTGTACTATGAGGTAAGCTGTCTTCTTCTGAATAACACTTACGGTCCTAAAAGACCAGCCTTGACAAAAATATCACTTGCCAGGGTAGGCACATGGGGATTTAGAAATATTAGTAAAGAATACGAAGACACAAAAACATAAAATAGTATCGGGAAGAAGTTCCAGTGAATACTGAAATGGCCTGTGTTTAATTTCCAATTACTTAGAATACCCCGGCCCCCAGAGGCAGGAGTAAGATTTTAGAAAACTGCATTAACATGATACACGGACATGCCAAGACGACTAGATGGAGGTCGCAGGCTACGTCTATAGTTAAACATTCTGTTGTTAGAACAAGTCACACGCACGGCCTAGACCACAATATTCTGCAGGCAAACCACTCCCTGGGTGGAATCCAATGTTATCTCCTTAAGGGAAATGGAACCTTAGCTGAGTCTTTAGAGTTTTGTTTGAGGTAGAAACAAATCTACTTCTTTATCCCTGAAATACAAGGTCTGGATCTTAGCTACCAGTGACAATAATCTTGAGGGAGCAGAACCCTGGGTCTAAATCTAGGTGGAAACTTGCTTGAGGTAGAAACACAGTAACCTTTGTGGTCAACGTGGGAATAGGCTCACGGTTTTTTTGGGGCCTCCAGTGTCCCCAGCAAGCTCCCACAGTAAATGTTCCAAAGAGCTGCGTCACCAAAACAGGGAACGCTTATGCCTGCTTGGCTGACGTCCAGGAACATAATCTGAAGATCAAGATGCTGTAGGCTTAGGCCTCCCAGAAGCCAGACAAGCCAGGGCCATGTGGCTTTAATTGAAATCAGGACTGTAAACAGAATTCAAACTGGCACCGCCTACGTCCTGTCCTAATCACATCTTGACTGCTACATTACGTGGCAAAAGTGATGTGCAGATTAACCCACTGACTGAGTTAAAGAAAAGCAGCATTGTGGTGGAGCTAATCACAAACCCTTGTCAGGCTCACAGCAGAAACGGAAGTCAGAGACTACGCCAGTGTAAACACACCAGTGCTGGTGTAAGGATGGAAGAGGCCCTGTGCTGAGAAATGTGTGTATCTTCTTGTAGAGTGGTACCACACAGCCAGCCAGTACACAGGGACTTTGCTTCGACAGCTTGCTCACCTAAATTCTGCCCCCAAATGCAATAAACTCAGTAGTGTTCCCTGGGGACTCAGACAAAAGCCAGGCTCATTCTAGGTGGATTTTAGCTTTCACACCCTGAGCAAAGAACCCTGTCAATCCAACCTGTCTGGACTGTGACACAGCAAACATGAAGTCTGGCATAGGGAGCTGACCCGTGATGGTCTGTCCTGTGGCCCCAGGAAGCTAATACCCACACCACCAAGCACTTTCCTTCACTGTGGAGTCCTCTACCCACAAGACTCTTGTTTTATAGACATTCACCCTTCCCCATCCTAAAATGCATGCTTCCCTTTTGTATCCATCCGTCTAGAAGACAATTACAACCCACAAAAGTTTTATATGTAAATACGAGATAAATGTTCTTCTTTTATTGTCTTGTTTTTTTGAGACAGGGTTTCTCTGTGTAGCTCTAGCTGTTTTGGAGCTTGCTCTGTAGACCAGGCTGGCCTAGAACTCAAGAGATCCGACTGCCTCTGCCTCCTGAGTGCTGGGATTAAAGGTGTGCAGCAACACAGCCTGATTCATGTTTTTGTTTTGTGAGACACAAGCAATAGGATTACAGGCACGTGCCACCATGCACAGCTTTTAAAAAAAAATCAGAGTTTGTTTGTATAGGATCCAGCCTGATTCTGTCATTCTATTTACTTTTTTGTAAGCATGGGTATTTTGCCTGCACGTATGTCTACATCACGTGTGACTGGTGCCGACAAAGGCCAGAAGAGGGCATCAGCTCCCCTGGGACCGTTACAGAGAGTTCTGAGTACCTTGAGGGTGCTGGGATGGAAACTGTCTTCTGAAAGAGCAGCCAGTGCTCTTAACCACTGACCACCTCTCCAGCCTGATTCTGCCCCTTTAAAATAAACCCACAATGACAAATAAAAAAGAAACTCCATCTATGACCAAAAAGGTTCATATCCATACCAATAAATTTGTAAAACTCAAGCAGACAAAATGACATGGAGAACTTACTGTCTCAACTCGCAAAGCCACCAAATAAGTATGTACACAGAGTCAGAAAATTATTTTAATAGTTACAAAACATTTGTACAGAATCAGTATAAAATAATAATTGATTATTATAATTATGAGAATTGGCCTGCTGGCTCGGAGACCATCTCCGGGAGCCCGCCCTGATGACGTCTGTCATGGTAGTTGATGAGATGACCAGGTCTTTTTTTAAAAACCTCTCTCTACTCATTCTTTGGAGGCTTGAAGTGAATTCGGCAGCGTTCATTAAACACCTAAGATGTTCAAACAGAAACAGAAGTCACTGAGTTATCCTGTCAACAAGTTAGGAGGACTCTAGCATCTGGTCTAGGTCAACAGGCCCAGAAACACAAAATTTCTTTAGCACACCAAAGTAAGCGTGATGTACACCCTGGTAACATTCACTAGACGATTTCAACACCCATTAGCTAGCTGGATATGCCTTCTGCGAAATTATGTGAATTTATGTATTTCTTGTTTGGGTCACCTTGCTTCCTAAAATCTGAAACATTTCCTAAGTGTTAGAGAATGCTCTCTGACTAAATGAGGCAATGCTACATAAAAATCTTGGCAGAGCCATTCACAGGAGTAACAGGGCTAAAAAGAGTAAGAAGTCTTGTTTTGTAGTTCATATTGGTATTTAACTTACTATGTATCTTGGCCTGGACTCAAACTCACAGTCCTGCTTCAGCCTGGCTAAATTTTAATTTTTCTGTGGACTAATAATACACAGAAGAATATTGTCTCTCTGTGTCTTAGTCCGCTGTTCAGTGTCCTGAGAACACTCAGGTTTAGTGGGATTGTGATCCCATCATGTTGAGGAGCACCCGTGACAGCACATCCAAACGGTTTTCACCATCCCCCTCTCCCATCAGAGCCCCAGAAAAACTTACGACCTTACAGAGAATGTGCGCATAGACAAGCACTGCCAAAATCTTTTAAGCAGCATAGCCCTAATGCAGATGCAAGGGCAAGTATAGGCTACGCTTTGGCAAGGAAGACAAAGAAATGCCATAAGCAGTCAATTTATAGTCTGTGATTTATTCATGCCTTCACATGTTCTGAGTTTTTTTTTAAAGATAGATGTAATTATTTAATGACACAGGAAATGCTGGCTGCTAACAGGTAGAAAATGACGTCATTTATGACTTTTAGAAACAGTTAACAAGTCTGAGCTGGAAGGTTATATACCAGAACATCACATTTGCTCAATGATTAATCTGTGTGTGTGTGTGTGTGTGTGTGTGTGTGTGTGTGTAAATTCTGAAACAAAAACTCCTGAAGAGACAAACAGTTACTAAATGCTAGAAGTTAGTCAGTGCCCAGCAGCTGATCTCTAAGTCCAGAGAGATCTGGTCAGAGTGTGGAGTGTGGAGAAACTCAGCTCAGCTGTTCTCCCTTCTCTGGAATTTACTTATCTAAGTGGTTCCTTTCCACTTAATGTTCCCTGTGTAATTGCATTTAATGAAACTCAATGAATATTAACGGACACAAATGCAAAATAATGTTAGCAACTTTGGTTTTGTAAAAAGTAACTGCATAAAAGGCTAATTATAACAAATAACTTGTTTGACAGTTCTCAGTTAACTACAATAAGAACTCTGAATATTCTATATGCCCATAATTAGTGTTAGGAGATGCACAGGATCACAAAACCCTCCGGCTGCTTGTAAAGCCGCTGTGCCTCCACACAGAAGTTCGCACTCCCCACACAGAAGTTAGCATTGCTGGTTCTTTGTTCTCAGTTTCCTGCACTTTTTGTTCCTCCCCTGGCTGCCCCTTGCTCCCTCAGTTCTCTGCAAGAACCAACATTATTTCCTACCTTCCAGCTCCTGTCATTTACCACTTCTTCAACATTTAGTTCTGACTGCATCCATTTCAACTGCAAGAGAGGAAAAATAAAAACAGAAATTCTGAGTAAAGAGTTAAACCTAGCACCCCAGTCGGGGTGCAGGCAGGCAGACCCTGGGAACTTGTTGGCCAGCCAATCTAGCTAAAACTGCAAGCTTCCAGAACAGTGGGATACCCTGCCTCAAAAAACTAAGGTGGAGAAGTAATTGAGGAATACATCCTCACATCAACCTCTGGCTCACACACACTAGCACAGGAGGCCATACCCACACACACTCACACACACCAAGTACAAAATAAAGAAAAAGCAAATTTTCAAAAGCACAGGTAATACACATTGTATTAGTAAACTGTCCTTTCTGCCTGAGCTCTCTGAGACACTGGCTCTCCACAATTCAGTAAGTCTATCTCAAGGTATCCATCCGTCCCTTGTCTAGGGATGGGCTGGCCTGACTAACTGTGACAGGGAAGGAAAGAACAGCAAACCAGCCCAAGAGCAAAAAATTTCCCTGAAAAGAACTGGAAATAAAACCATTTCTAATAGATGTCACCATTGCTTATCTCAGGACAGAAATGAGCTTCCAGTGGGAAGGAGGAGCCACAAATCCAGCTGTGCAGAGCTTAGTCATGTAGAGAAAGCTCCCTAGAAACTCCAGCTGACTGCCTCACTTCCTCCACTGCCTCCTGCTGGGCTGTGAGGGCCGATCTGGTGAGGTTAACTCCACCTGTTACAATCTATTATTCCACTTGGAAGTGTCCCTGAGGACATTCTGCACTGCCTGGGACTCCTAATGGGGAACTGACTGCCTCAAAAGGGCTTTCCCGGATGATTCCTGCTAGATATGTGGAGCACCCAATCTGACGGTGCTACATACAGGATGATGGATACATGGAGTACCCCAAATGACGGTGTTACATACAGAATGATGGATACATGGAGTACCCAACCTGACGGTGCTACATATAGGATGATGGATAGATGGAGTACCCCAAATGACGGTGTTACATATAGGATGATGGATACATGGAGTACCCCAAATGACGGTGTTACATACAGAATGATGGATACATAGAGTACCCAATCTGACAGTGCTACATACAGGATGACGGATACATGGAGTACCCCAAATGACGGTGTTACATACAGAATGATGGATATATGGAGTACCCAACCTGACAATGCTACATATAGGATGATGGATACATGGAGTACCCAATCTGACGGTGCTACATACAGGATGATGGATACATGGAGTACCCAACTTGACGGTGCTACATACAGGATGACGGATACATGGAGTACCCCAAATGACGGTGCTACATACAGGATGACGGATACATGGAGTACCCAATCTGACAGTGTTACATACGGGCTGATGGATACGTGGAACACCCAATCTGAGGGTGTTACATATGGGCTGATGGAGAAGTGAGGATGCACCCACAGAAACCCAGCCTCCCAGGGGTCCACTGCTAGAACAAGGACAAGAAACACTGCGGTTACAAGGTTAGCGTGTGAGCAAGCTTCTCAGCTAAGAGTGCTGGCTGCTGAAGGTCACGGGCATCTCTGGAGGTGTTCGTTGGGATGCAAGACTTCTCTAATTCTCAAGTTCTGTGTGAGGACCCCGCCCCTGGAGGTGGGTGGTATAATATCCAAGAAGTTAAGAAGTTTGATATCAATAGAATACAGATTTTACAATAGATACAACAGAGTACAGATCTTAATTTGCTACATTGTGCCATATATATAATTTGGATTCAGCTCTTATTTAAAGAAGAAACAGTAAGTAGGTGAGAAAAATGTTAAGGAGGTAGTAAATATGAGATAACTTTTAGTAAGAAAAGTTAAAAAGAACTTTTTCATTCTATTACTATAAAAGTCCATGAAACGGTTTCCACATTGGAACATGAAGCATGGGTGACCGAGCTCCGAGTCCCCACGTTAGGGTCACTCATCTGTAGCTCCAGAATAAACTAGATCATAGCTGAAAGGGGGAGGGTAGGATGAGGATGAGAATGTTTTAGATAAGGATTTTATATAATAAAAGATGAAGTGATAGGAATTTTCCTAAATGGAAAATATAAAAACAAAACAGGGACCCTAACCTATAAAGGCTGGAATAGGTTGTACAAGGTTTGTGAAGAATGAGTCTTACAGTCGATATGTTTGATACAGTCGATATGTTTGAGTTACTAAAATTCCTAACCACTCACTAGTTTGTGACTTTAGGGATGCCAGTTAAAGTCCCTGCATCCTCAGTGAATGAGGAAGAGCTGGAACGGCTGTCTGAAGGATTGTCTCTTGCAGAGTCCACGACACCTGAGGAAGGTAAACAGCTGCCACTCCCTCTCCCCTGTAGCACTACTCACTGTGGCCTTACAGCCCGGAAGCAAAGCTTACATTTATTCACTGATTGCTTCCAATGCCCCTCCCTATAGTGCCTACGGCCATGCCTTCCAGGCACTAAGGGCAAAGGGGCAGATTGAGAGCTGAGCAAATAGACACAGTCGCTCCTGAACATCCGGGCTTCGCTAAACCTGTACTTCACTAGCAAAGGGAGCGCGGCTCTGACTTTTCAGCATATGTCTTAGCAGTCCTGCCCCACATCCCCAGTCAACATCTTCACCAAAATCCAGGAGGTGAGGGTAGTACGGCGGCTGCGCTCACACCACTGCTGCTCAAGCAGGGTCCACCTGGCTCTGTGGACAGCTCAGCCTGTGCCCCTTTCCTCCTTCACTAGTTAAGATAACAGGTTAGTTGGAAAGGATGACCTTTCCTGAGAGTGGAGGACAGGTTTGCAGCCACACTCAAGAAACAGAGCTCCAGGCTGTGGTGGCGCACACCTTTAACCCTAGTACTTGGGAGGCAGAGGGAGATGGATCTCTGTGAGTCTCTAGACCAGACCTAGCCTGGTCTACAGAGAGTTCCTGGACAGGCTCCAAAGCTACAAAAAGAAACCTTGTCTTGAAAAACAAACAACAACAAAAACCAACCAAAACAAACAAACAAACAAACAAAAAAAGCAAGCAAGCTTAAAGCTATTTATTCCCTGACCAATTTTATAAAATAACATACAAATAATCCTGAATATGAAGGGGAGGGACAAGGACTATTCTAACAAATATACCATCTGGAGACTCCAATCACTGCCTGATGAATAAGCAAGCATGGAACAGAGACCTAAGCAGTACTCAAGGGTGAAGAGAGACTCAAACAGAGTTGAGGCTGCCTCCAGGCAAACACAGAGAAAGCACAGCAGCCTGGTCTACTGCTGTGTGCCCCAGGCATCTGGTTACATCTGCTAAACAATACCAACCAAATCCCACAATTACTTTAGATAGATGATAGAGAGATAAATAGACAGATAGATTAGATGATTGATAGATGATAAATAGGCAGATAGATTAGATGATAGATAGATTAATAGATAGATAGAGCATGTTCCACTCTGCCTTTTCAGTCTCCTCTGACACACAAGAACTATAAGTTGCCCACTGTGCTATCTTTTTTTTTTTTTGGTTTTTCGAGACAGGGTTTTTCAGTAGCTTTGGAGCCTGGCCTGGAACTAGCTCTTGAAGACCAGGCTGGCCTCGAACTCACAGAGATCCACCTGCCTCTGCCTCCCGAGTGCTGATGCCACCACCACCAGGTGTGCTATCTATCTTAAGTAGACAACTATACTATGGTGGTCATGTAAGAAAAATTCCTATTATTAAGAAACAGCAGGGCTGGAGAGATGGCTCAGGGGTTAAGAACACTGGCTGCTGTTCCAGAGGACCTGGGTGAGCTGAGTTTAATTCCTAGCACCCACATGGCAGTCCACAACTATCTGTAACTCCAAGGTCTGATATCCTCACACAAACATACCTGCAAAAAATGTTAAATGCAAATACTATACTACTTTACATATGGGACTTGAGAATCTGTGAACTTTGATCTCCCTGGTGGGCAGAGGAACAGTCCTGGAACTGACCCCCAGAACACCAAAGCATAACTTCTTTCTTGGTAAGCCACAAACAAGGCCTACAGAGCAACATTTCTGCCTCATTAAATGTATTATATGAGGAAAAAAGCTCCCTTTCATATATCCCTGAGTGAGCACTTGACTTGTAAAATTGTTTATTTGTGTTTGTGTGTGAGCACAAGCGTACACTTGCAAGTGGAGGCCTGAAGTCTGTCGTGTGTCTTTTCTAGACAACAGTGAGGTAGGATCTCTGACTAAACCTGGTTCTAGTGAATTCTGGCTAGTCTAGCTAGCCAGCTTGTCCAGGGACCTCCTGTCTGCCTCTGGAGGGCTGTGATTACAGGGGCTGACAGGCCACTCAGGTTTTTTTTGCTGTTGGTGGTGGTTTATTTGATGTATATGGGTATTGTGTTTGCATGTTTGTACACCATGTACATGCCTGGTGCCTGCAGACACCATCAAGGGTGATCAGATTTTCTAGGACTGGAATTATAGTTATAAGCCTGTGTGGGTGCCAGCAACCAAATCTTAAGTCCTCTGGAAGAGCAGTCAGTGTTCTTAACCACTACGCCATCTTTCCAGGCCCACATCACCCAATTTTTTTTACAAGGGTTCTCAAGATTCAAACTACAGTTCTCATATTTGCAAAGCAAACAATTTATCTACTGATCCATCCTCCCAACCCTGACCTCATCATTTTTTAAAGTAACAACCATAACTTCCTTAAAATTTTGCATTAAAACTCTATTTTGAAGACTGTATTAGGGAAACCTCTGCCCTAGACATGTAAAGTCTGCCCAACTTACCTTTGTCTGTTCTTTTCTAAGCTGCTTTAATAACGTTAAGTCATCCAGGTTCTTCTCTCTTTCTTCTCGGAGACTTTTTACTACTTCTGAGGTTTGGGCTATACAGTTCTTTATAACTTTGTCCCTACTGACATGAGCTGCCATCAACTAGAAGAACAAAGGAATAAAAAGAGGGAAAGAAATCACATTAGCTTGTTACATTTTAGTGTTAGGAAAACCAATTTGAGCCTTCAGAAAATTAATAGTTTAAGTTTTTATTTATTTATTTATTTATTTATTTAAATTGAATCTCTTGAAGAGATTCAGAGGGAAAACCTTGGAAGACGCAGAAGACAAGGCCGGGCTGCCTCTGCCCACAGTCCAGGCCAGCACTCCTGCTCCTCCCTCCCATCCTGCAGCTGTCCTTACTCCCTCACCACACCCAGCATGAGCTCCTGTACCCTACACCTCCCCGCCTCTTCTGCTAGTCTTCCTTCTTTTTGTCTTTTCTGGCTGTTTTTAGCCTCGTGTTGCTAACAGGGGGAAGATGTTAAGCAGGAAGTGATGTGGAGAATAATACAAAGAATGTTACTTAACTTTGCCATCAGAGGTCTTCTCAAAAATCTCAAGTAAGTATTAATAAAGAAAACCCGAGGCACAGATTAGTGGTTGCATCGGTTTTGTGTGTTGATTGCAAGGACAGCTGACAGAATGATTCCAATAATCCCTTCTTAGAGTAACACAATCAAGAACAGCCTTTCTCCATCTGTCTTGGGTAGCCAGGTGTAATGATTGTGGTTCAAGGAGGAGAGCATCAAAAACTGACCACATTCAGATATACCAAGACATAAGTGGACCATCAAACATCAAAGGGATGCTAGGACTTGGACCTACCCCCACTTGCAATGACTAAACACCACACCATCCAATTTCCTAAAACCACAGTATTTACTTGATTGCTCAATAGAATGGCATACTTTAATAAAACAGACACACACACACACACAAAAAAAAAACCAGAACCTAGATGCTAGTAGGTAGTGTTCTAAATTTAATTAAATAAATAACTTTGTCCACAAAAGCATACTGTCTATTTAAGCAAAAGGCCATGCATGCATAGGCCAAACAATTCTGCTCCCATTCTTTATAACCATTTCTTCAGATTTGTGCATACACCACACACGGTCTGGAGCTGTAACATTAAAACTAGTATACTTCCTCTTTCAAGTGTACGCAAAGAGATATGACGGCATGTGCGTTTCACAGCGTATGTACAAGTCAATTTGTTTCTTATTTTGTCTGCAAAGAAAGATACGAAGAAACACAACGGAGAGACTCAGGAGATAAACTTACAGACTCATAGAGCTGTTTACAGGTTTGGCTGGCATCAATCTTCCCTGCAAAGGAAGCTGTTGGCACCGTAGTGTTTAATTCATGTACTATTCTGTCATCAATTGTCCTCATCACCTTGAGTAATTCCTATATTTAAAATAAAAATATAATTTCAATGAAGTGTTAAGTGTTTAAATTTAATTACTTAAGCAAAAAGAAATTTTAGCTATTTTACAACTATTTTATGTAAGAGGAAAACAAGCTAAACAGAGTATAACCAAAATATCTTTACCACGAGGATAATGGGTAGGATATGTAATAGTGATTCTCACAGAGGACTCTGAGCCTAGCTCTGTGGCTCAACAGTGAAATCCCACTGTCTGGAATGATACCCAGCAAACTGTGTCTTCCAGCTCCAACACAGCCAAAGAAGGTCCCCAACCTGGACACCACACACTCTCCACAACCAGCGATGCCACCGCTCCAGTTCCGCACGGACAGAACCAGTCAACTCAGACACAAAACAGCACACGCCAGCTTTACCTTCCAGCTCTTTGACTTTCTATGACTGTAAATATTTTTGTGATAAAAATGGAACAACTTTGCTACTAGAGAAAAAAACATACTTTGGCTTCTTTAATTCACTGAACAAGTAGAAATTAGTTTTAGCTGTTCTTTAGAAACCTTGGGTAACATTTCTCAAGACTCTACTTCCCTGCAAATGGTCTCCAACTCACACAAACCCAATCCAAAGGACAAGACCAAAAGTTATGATCTCCGAGTGGCTGGGGATGTTGCCCAGTAGCAGAGCACTAGCCTACCTCCTTCGCGGCTCTGAGTTCCATCCCCAGGAACCTACTGCTCCCAAAAGAGAAAAGAAAAAGAGCTCTTGGTACCCTGCACAGCAGGACCTGACCCACACTGCAGGCAGTGCTCACGGTCCTCACCAGAGAACTGCGCTGTCCTCAGTTAACAGAAACATGGGACTGAGTTTCTAACAGTAGACACTTCTCTTTCTCTCTCGCTTTTTCCTGGGACAGGGTTTTCTCTGTGTAGCCCTGACTGAGTTAGAACTAGCTCTGTAGCCCAGGCTGGCCTCAAACTCAGATTCACCTGCCTCTGCCTCCTGGTGCTGTGATTAAAGGCGTACTCTACCACTGCCGGGCTACACTTCTCTTTTTTATATACATCCCCGACAAAAAACACCACTTCCTCTGAAAACCTGCTGAGAAAACAATTATATTAAAATACAAACACACTATTTGTGGAAACTTTGAAATTAGCATTTAACGTTGACATGTATTAGAGGAAACTTCACCAGACCATCTCTCTCAACATAAACCCTTTCTTTCCTTTGTCAAATTAAACCCACGACTGAAGCCAACACTTTCATTTTTTCTCCTCCTATGTAATAAAACCGTTCCTTATCATTAATGTTACCATCTGTCAAGTCTTAGGATGTCCATATATCTAGAAATGAGCTCAAGATGGACTACAGAAGGATTTACAGCGGTTATGGTTAAAAAGCCAGCATTCCTTAGGAACTTGTGAAACTGGTTCCCATCTGCCAAAGGAGTCATTTCCCTAGTCTCTGGCAGAAAGGACATGGTGACAGAGCAGAGCCAGCCCATCAGCCTCCAGGCTCCCTCAGTTCCCCACTAAGGGTGCTTGTCACACATTTCCAAGTCCACACTAGCCTCCTGGCCCCTCCTTCCTCCTAGCTACTCAGCACCCCACACCTCAACCCCCATCTTCCCACCCTCTCCACACCCCAACCCCTCCCTATTCCCTAGCTCTTGTTATGCTCTCTCCTTCGGTCTCTGTCACTCTCTGTTCTCCCCCATTTCCCTAGCCATAAGCAGTCTTAATTCTTTTTCTTTCTTTTTCACTCTTTTATTCACAATAAGAACCTTCTTCTTGGGTTGGAAAGATGATTCAGAGGTTAAGAGCACTGGCTGAGTTCAATTTCCAGCAACCACATGGTGGCCCACAACTCTTAGTAATGAAATCTGGTGTCCTCTTCTGCAGGCAACACTGTATACATAATAAATCTTAAAAAACAAACCAAAAACCTTCTTAACCTTACCAGCATGTCCATTTCAGTGATTCTTTATTGCATCCCCTCACATATACCTTCCTTTTAGATAAATTTGAAAAAAATTAATTACCCAATTAAATTAGTAATACATTAACAGGTTTACTATTTATACACTCATGAATATTTTATGAAATTGAGATACTATGTAACATTTTTTAAATGATTTATTTTTATTTTATATGCATTGGTCTTTTGCCTGCATGCATGTCTGTGTGAAAGTGTTGGATCCCCTGGAACTTGAGTTACAGAGAGCTGTGAACTGCTATGTGGGTGCTGGAATTGAACCCAGGTCCTCTGGAAGAGCAGCCAGTATTCTTAATCACTGAGCCATCTTTCCAGCCCCCACTATGCAACTTTTAAAAATGACATATTGTGAACATTTTGCCTTGTTACTAAAAATGCCTTGAAGAATCCACACCACCCCAGTCCTGGGAATCAAACTCAAATCCTCATGCATGCCAGGCAAGTGCTCCATCACTAAGCTACTCCCAGTTTCCTTGAAGACAGACTTAACCTTCTGTAAGACTTTGTGAAAGAGGCAAGATTCTAATCGTTTTGTCCATTTAATCAGAACACGTAGTCTAAATTATGCCCTAACACTTTGTTCACCTTAAACTGTGGAATATTTTAATAGCCGGCTCATGGTCTCAAGACAGAAAAAACCAGCGTTCACAACATCCATAATATGGATTAATAAATCACAGGCAAGGACTCATGAGAAAGCCCAACAGATAAAGGCACCTGCTGCCAAGCCTGATGACCTAAGTTCAATCCCCAGACCCACATGCTGGAAGGAGGAAACCAATTCCCACAGGTTGTCCTCTGACCTCCACTCACTTCAACACCATTGCATAAGCAGTCCCTTCCCCAAATAAATAACAACAAAACACCACAGGCAAATAACACAAAGTCCATTGCCTTGTCTCCTTCCCCTGTATCTACTTCTGCTGATAGACAATCTCAACATAGTCCCTGGGCAACTACCACTTTAAATAGTATGCCATATAATGCCCATGATTGTAAATTTCAAACAAATGATGAGTCACTTGGGGAGTCAGGGGAAGAAAGCAGCTGGGTGTGGTGGCACAGCCTGTGAACTTAGCACCCAGGAGGCTGAGACAGGAGAGTCATGAGTTGGAGACTAGCAAGGATTACATAGCAAGATCTTATGTGGGGGCGGGGAGGGATAGATCAGACAAAGCCAACCTAACCTCCTTCAACATGACTGCTTTTTCCAGACCCTTAGAAATCGCCTTCAAATTCTTCTTTTCCTCCCTCGCAGTAAGGAAAAACGTATCTTCTGAGGCCAAGTTTCAGTTGTTCTTTTTAGATATCTTTCCTTAGCCAGGAGAGTTCTCAGCAACTTTCTTCTTTCAAAGGTACAGCGGTTACAGTCCCAGAGTTCATCTTTTTACTAACTCACACTGAGCTCGAGCAGTTGCTGAGAGAGAGAGAAGCACTGTGGGAAAGAGAAATCTTATGGAACAAAATAGGATCAAGTTGGGGCTCCGAGCTGTCTCGGCTGGGAGATGAAGAAACGCCTCTGACAAAGACCAGACATTCTCGCATGCAGAACCTAGCTTCAAATCTTAACCTGGGATTAAGAGGTCAGAGAGCTAGAAAGGGGACATCCGAGAGAAGGAAAGGAGGTGGGACAGCAGGACACACAAACATGAGAGTAGAACAGGAGAAGACTGGGGTTTAGGCTGGAGCAGGATGGAAGGCAGGCAGAGAAGACAGGCTAGAGGGAAGTGTTAAACCAAACTAAGACTTGGGAAAAATTCCTATTCAGAGCTACTTTCTAAGTTATTTAAAAATATAATTTGTTTTTTAAAAAATTTAAAGGGGGTTCCCTGCATGGGTGGATAACGGTCCTCCCAAAAGCCACATTATTATATAAAAACTCCAATGCTAACTGTAGGATACCTCCTACAAGCAGTAAGGCCCTAGTGGCCCCCAAAGAACACAGGTTATTATCATTACTCTTAATTGTCCACCAGACTACACGGTAAGATCCAATTGCTGAGGACACCATACACTTTGGTCATAGGACATAAAGACACTAAGAAGGAACTAAGCAAGAAGCATCCTTCCTGCTGGATAGCTTTCATAGTGCCAAAAGGCTCCTAGGGAAAAGTCACTGACAATCTTACCTAGCTGTGGGCCTCATAAATTACAATAACAACAACCTGCCAGGCAAGACACATGGAGATAACCAACTGCTTTCTGACTGGAGTTGACTGCTCCACATAACTCACACCTGGTACTGTAAACTTGGTTAGGAAACCATGGCTGAAGAGATCACAGGCCCTAAAGTGGAACCTACTACTGTTGTTTTTGCCAAACGGACAAGCAGCTAAGATGCCATAGACTAGTGCTGTTCTGTCTTTGTCAGAGAAACTTCTTTTTGGCAGTGGATGGGAGTTAATGCACAGACTCCTAATTGGTCAAAGTCCTGACAATAGGTGACAACTGGCTGCTTGGTCCTAGAATCAGTACCACTCCCTCCAAGGCTCAGATACCACAAAGATGGCGGAAGAACGTAAAAGCGAGAGATGGCTCAGTGGTTAAGAGACCTGGATGCTTGTCCAGAGGACCCAGGTTCTTCCTAGCACCCTAGCTATACAGGTGACTCACAACCATTCACAACTCCAATTCCAGGGGATCTCACTCCCTCGTCTAGGCTCCGAGGGTACTAGGCATGTAGGTAGTACACAGACATACATGCAGGTAAAACACATATAAATATTTCTAAAAGATTTGTTTTTAAACTGTACAGTGTACTATTTAAATTACCAAATATGCCTTTAGGTAACCCGTACTGGTGGTATTTTTAATAACCACAACGCCTGCCTGGTACAATACGGGGGTGGTAAACTGGAATGAAAATTTAGAGCAGGTTTAGTATCATTAAGAGCTCAAGAATTGCAAGGATGCCCCCATGCCAGCCACTTAAAATAGACCGCTGAATGCTTGAGAAAATACAGTGTAAGACAAGACTCACTACTGTAGGGGATGTTGCAGGATCTTAATATTTTCTGAGAAGAAAAGAAAATGAGTGAAATGCTCTAAGAATGGTGGGGTTATATGATCAGATTTGTGTTCTGAAACGACTGCCTATAAAGTGGACTGGACACCAGGATAGATGTAAGGAGACCAATTGGAAGGCTGACACAGCAATCCACGGAAAAGATTATACGGCTTAAAATTTGTTGAGCTTTTATTGATGCTGAACTTTAACCATTTCTGCATTTAGGTACCGGCTATAACTTAATCATGATAAACAAATCCTCCCAATAAAACAATGTGGACAAACTATTAACATCTTTACATAACAATTTTTGTCTGCATTAATTGGGTAATTTTGTCCACATTAATTAGGTAAAGAATCTACCTCTTTAAAAAAATGTATTAGTGAGTGGGGTGTACATGTTCCATGGTGAGCATGTAGTTGACAGCTCTGTGGATTTGGTTCTTCCATGTTTACACAAGTTCTCAGAATCAACTCCAGTTGTAATAAGGCTTGTGTGGCAAGTACTTTTACCTGCTGAACCATCTTGTTGGTTCTGAACCCACCCACTACTTTTGCAATCTTATCAACAGAATCTACAAATGAGGGCTGCCAAGTAGACTATTTTCCCCCTTTCTTATGTACTGGTGGATTCCCAACCTATGATTTGGAGCTGGGCTTTTGATACAGCGGATACTAGCATGTGAGGTTATTTAAACTGAAATTTATAATTTAAAACCTTCAGTTCTGGTGGCTGGAGAATGGCTCGGTAGTTAAGAGCACTGACTACTCTTCCAAAGGACTTGGGATCAATCCCCGGCATCCACATGGGAGCTAACAGTTGTCTCCAATCTCTAATTCCAGTCCTAAGGGACCCAATGTCCTCTACCTGCTAGCAAAATGCCCATTCAGACAAAATGAAAATAAATCTTAAACCTCCAATTACAGCAGCATACTAACAAGCTGGAGACCCACATGTTAGCAGCAACACTCCATGTAGACAGCACAAAGACAGACTATTTTATCACTGCAGGGAGTTTAAGTGCACAGAGCAAACCAGGTGAGGGTGCACGGTACACAAACCTGACAACCGAGTTCACTCCTGGAATCCACATAAGGTGGAAGGACCGACTCCACAGACTTTCCTGACTTCCACACATGCATGCCCTGTGCTTTCCCACACGCTCACATTCACACAGTAATAATTTTTACAGAAAAGGAATAAAAATACAATGATAATATCTGAACTGATGACACACTTATTCCAGGAGTGTTGAGAATTATAAGTTATTATTAAATTTCATAGATTGCAAAAAAGGAGAAAGAATAAGAAAAGACTGTAAGTGTCTCTCCGGGCTCACCTCCTTACAGTGGAAGAAGCACCAGAGCCCTTATGTCAACTCCAGGAGATCTAGGACAAAGGCTGGGTGGTTTAAAGTCAACCCAAATAATCTATGTACACATGAATATACATTCCTAATGGAAATAAAGCACTCTGAAAAGGAATAGTGAGTTGATTTTTCCCAAGAGATATATGACCTGGGTCTCACCTGGAGAGAAAGGAAGGTACTTCCAAGTGACAGGTGTGGGGACGAAGCATGGAAATGACAAGAGCATGTGCTCAGGAACAAGTCAGGCCTAAGTCACAAGGCAGAGGGTTCAAATACACGACAAACATGAAAAGGGGGTTGGAAGAGAGAAGCATTTGGGGATAAAAGTACAAGTCAAAGATTTTGCCTAGAGGCACACAAGAGGATCCTGTTCTAGAAAGGATTGACACACCATGTTTAGATCTTAGAACTTCGTTATGTGACCTGAAATTTACACATGGCCTAGATCCTAAATTCAGACGAGGACACAAAGGTGACTCACGAAAGGAGACATCCCAAAGCCGCAAAAATGACTAATCCCACAGCCTCTGCCTCCTAACTGCTAGGATTAAAATTGTGAGCCACCACGCCCAGTACAAAAGTGTATCAAATGTCGTCATGTGCAGAGGGCAACATTTGACAATGGGAATAAGTGGCTGTTACTGATCTGTGCATTTATTGAGTTATATTCTCCTTCATTAGACTATTCTCCTACTTATAGCATCTTCTCAGATCTCCTGTCTACTGCATCCCAATGTATCAAGAAGCCATGACAAGGATTAACTGAAACCTAGATAAGGCTTAATTATGCTCACATATGCGTAACATAAAACCACCGGTAACACATTTCTCAGGATATATACCCATTCACTGTTGAGCAATGCATGACTGTACAGGAAATGTATGCTATAACTTCTGCCTAGAATTCAACCGGTATTACCTAAGACCCAACTCAACTGTGACCTCTTGGTATATTTCTTTTTGAGCTCTTATGCATTTCATTCATAGCTCACTGTCTTCTACATGTTTTAATCCAGACTTAAAGCTCCTTTTTCATACCCTGTCCACCATGATACCTCCTAAAGCTTGGTAGCTGGTAGATAACCTGATAGTGGCTAAATTGTGTAGCCTGGGGTGCATGCTAAAGCCCTAAGTACTTGTAGATAGGGATTTTAGGAATGAAAGTTAAGTGGAGGTCACAACCAGGCATACACTGGTTTCAATTTCATTGAGAGGCTGAGGCAGGACTTCTTGAGCCAGAATTATTTGGGCCAGGCTCCACAACATTGTGAGACCTTGTCAAATACATACATATATACACAGTTACAGAAATGGAGGTCAACAGGGCAGGAACCCTAATCTGAGGTACTTATTAGAAGAGGAAGAGCGACATTAGGGACCCTGTCCAACTGCACAGACACAGACTAAAGGTGTGAGGACATGGTGAGAAAACAGCCACCTGCAAGGCAGGAAGAGACCTCACCAGAAATTAACCCCAACCCCAGTCTTCCAAAAGTTCAGGCAACCACATTTCTGTTTTTTAAGCCACTCAGTCAGTAGTATTTAGTTATGGCAGCTTGAGCAGACTAAAAAGTACTCAAGGAATTTTCAAATGTATGTTAAAGTAAGAGTCGAAGCATTCAATTTTAAATTTTATTTTTTTGGATTCCATCTCATTTTGGAAATGAGGTATTTTCTGGGAGTGCTCCGGGGCGGGGGGGGGGGGGGGAGGCTTTAAAAAAAGTTAAAACTCTCTACAAATCGTTTAAGCCTAAAATCAGAGCTGTGTGAAAACAAAAGCAGAGTAATACTAATAGTTGGGACTGGACAGGAAGGGACAGGGATTGTCTAGGAAAGCCCATCAGAACACTTTTGAAGGTGAAAGCATCCATTTTGATGTTGACAGACATTTGCCTTACAAGTATATGTCAACGTCAAACTATGCCAAGTACTCATAAATACCTGTGGGCTACATCATATTCAAAATATATCCCTCCAAAATAGCGAACAAACGCTGAATCCAGTTGATACGCAGGCAGCATATTTAAAAGCACTCGGCTTTTGCAATTGGCTTTGAAACTCCTCAAATTAAAAGGTGGACTAATGGATTGAGTGGTGGATAAATAGATATACATACAGTTAGAGCAGATACATAAGAATTTAGATGAAGAATACAAGGGCATTTACAGTACAGATTCTTTTGTAATTATGGGGTAAAATACTACCTAATATTTACGATAAAAAAAAAAGACATATGACCTTCAGTTTCCACTGGTAATGAGCGCCAGGCTTTCCATAGTTAGATACTTACATATAAAATGATCTAACAGCGCTTAAGAATGCAAACTTTGATCAATAATTTGTGAGAATTCCAGTCAACCATGTCTTATAATTTTACCAAATGCATCTAAAATTAAGCTATATTAAGGTTTTACATTATTATAGCATCTTCATGTATGTTCTGGTCCCATCTGTGAAGAGGTGGGAACAAAAAGTAATACGTATTTACAAGGAGGTTAGAAGATATGCCAAGGCCAGTTCTGGGTAAACAGGGGTTTTGCCTTTTAAGTTCGATATTTATTAAGTTTTTTGCCAAAGCTGGGTGGTGGTGGCACACGCCTTTAGTCCCAGCACTCAGGAGGCAGAGGCAGGCAGATCTCTGTGAGTTACAGGCCAGCCTGGTCTACAAGAGCTAGTTTCCAGGACAGGCTCCAAAGCTACACAGAAACCCTGTCTTGAAAAACCAAAAATCTTTTGCCAAAGAGATCAATTTGATGAGGTTATCTTTAAGAATACCACTACCTCCAAACTACTCAGAGTATTAAGATTATTACAGCTAGGTCAACAATGATATGTGAAACGAATCTTCACTATCTTTAGCTTAAAAATCGTGATTTAAAATTCAACTCTAGTATCAGAACACGTCACCAGTAACTTGCATGAAAACTGATCAACATCCAGATCATTATTCTTGAATTCTTGGGTAAGTATTAAGTTCTGGACCTTTGTTGTGTTTTGTACAAAAAGACACATTTTTTTCCCTTAAGTGTCAGGATCAATAAGGCATTAGCACAAACCAAATATGAGAATTAACCCTCCCTCAAAGCTTTCAAATAGTCTGCCTCACCAAAACAGGACACTATCACAAATATTTTATCAAGCATACAAGGCCTTACACTTCTCTCCCACAAAAGCTCAACTCAGAAGTGGGAGAGGAACTGCAGAAGCTAGGGGCTAAGTTCGGGGAACCGCTGAACTGTTGCAATTCAAAATAAACCCACAGCTTCCGAGCTCGGCTTTAGCACTCCGGAATGAGGCAGAGGACCTCAGCCACCTCCCTGCACCGAGCAGCTACACTTTCCAAGGCCACCCCTAGCCCCCATGACCTCCAAAGTTCCCCTAAAAGAAAAGCTCGGAACCGCCTGCTTTTCTCACAACTTGTCCATACTCCCTCCCAGGCCAAAGCACGAAACAGGATCTGGGGACAAAAGGCTGGACAAGCCTGCCACGTGAGGAAAACTTCATCACCTGGAACTCGGCGAACTCTTCACAGTTCACACCGCCACTGGGCGCCGCCATATTGGACGACCGCGAGGACCCCGCCGCTGGCCAATCACCGTGGAGCAGAGGTGTCCGCGGTGCTGCCTGATAGCAAGTAGTGGGAGCCCAGAGCAGAGAGCGCGGGTCACCTTCCTCGGAGCCTTTCCACTCTGTCCCTAGAGCATAGGGTGCTTGTTAATAAGGAACGAGACTCCGGAGAAAGCGTCGAAAAACAGGGGCGTTTGGGACAGTGAGGGTGGGCAAGCGGTGAGAATGACTAAGTCCTTTTTTAAAAATCGCTAAGTGGAAGCAGGCTTCCCTCAGGGACATTACTGATGCCTGCACACCGCAGGGCCCTGGGCCCCGAGTCCCCCCCACGTGTGTGATTCGCTTGCACCGTCCTAAAACTCTACTTAGCACTCCACAGTTGGCACACGTCACCCTCCCTCCTCGGTCTTCAGGCCCGGGCAGGCTGGGCACCTGGCCGCGTCCTCCACCCTTCGCGCACGTCCCTCACGCCCGCCGCGTCACGCTCGCCCCGCCCACCCCGCCAGTGCCCTCCCCACGCGGGCCCTCGGTGACATTGAGCGCCAGCGCTGCCGCCACCGCCGAGGGGTGCTGTGCGTCGGCGGAGCAGGCGGCCATGGGGAGCCTCCGCGGCCTGCGCCTGGCGGCTGGTGAGACGCGGGGCTGCGGGCGGCAGGAGGGGGCATCACCGGTGGGGGTGTCCTACTTCTTGCACCCGTGGGAGGACAGCAGCGGCTAAGCAGACCAGGGGGAGTGGGGGCTAGCCGGGACCCTGGATCTCATCCACCCAGATCCCATCTTAAGTTAGTGCCTTGATGCCTCCGAGACCCGGTCCCCTTCCTCCTGCGAGCACCTGCTCAGAGTTATCTCTGTAACTTCTGCTTTCCACGCGAAATTTCCCCCATCCGTTATCCTAGTTGAGCTTTCCTCCTCCACTGCTTGTCATTAGGTGAGGGACTTGAAGATTTCACAGAACACCAGCAACTGTTTTCTTAGATGTGGGTGGGAGTACATTACTTTTCAACAATAGTGCGATTAGCTGCTTCACGTTCTTAGGAGAAAGTGTTATGCTAATGCAAGCTCAGTAGCCTGTTTTCTTAGAAAACATTGGAGCGGTCGGGTGTTGTGGAGTCTGGTGAAGAGAATGTGTCCTGCCTTAGGGGAAATCTAGAAAGCCTTGGAATTATCAAGTTGAGAAATCAGAGGGCTTGCAGCCTGATTCTTGAGGGCCTTTGGTGGGTAACTTACTCTAGTGCTCGTCTTTATGAACTTTCACGTTATATAATGATCTTTTGCTCCACGGCATCAAATCACTGAAGAGATATTTAGTTTTTAAAGAAAGAATAGCCCCATGTTTTGCTATTGGAGCAATGCAAATGTCCATTGTAAATGAGGCAATGCAAAGAATGGCAAATGTAGAATAGCTGCATACTTTTGAGGAATAGCCAATGAAAAGGTTAGTTTCTACCGGCTGGGAGATGTGTTTCAACGGGACAGCTTTGCTTACACCCCTAAACACTAAGACCCACTCTGCTTAAAACAGAGAGAGAGAGAGAGAGAGAGAGAGAGAAGAGAGAGAGCACTAGCCCTCATTCTATTACTGGTTTTGATTTGTATCCATTAGGAGCTAATTCATCTAAAATCTTTTGTGTACATTTTTATTAAGTATTATAAAGTTTTCAGCAGAGCAAGCGAAAGAATCAACAATCTGTGAGTTATTCAGAAACCACTTACTACTTGAAGAAAGTCTGGCAGTGGGTATTTTTTTTAGACCCGAGACTGTAGCACACATCATGGGAATCTAAACTGTCTCCACAGATTTCTGACGTTTTGGAATGCCACTCTTGGGCCCTTAACAAAGACAGAATTCCTTGCACAATTTAGCAACAAATTATTTTACTTCTGATGGGGAAACCTTGGATGGCCAGGCTGTTGTGAGCAACTGCTTCTGCGTGGTCTGTGACTGTCTGCTGTGGAGTGAGCGCCTTCCCGTGATTTCCTTTGCCTGTGTTATTCCTCAGTGCTTTCACATACGTTCTCTGATTTGCACGGCAGCCCCCTCAGGCCTTATCATTCCCTCCAGTCCTTATAAATGAGCATCAGTCACAGAGCTAAATAAACTTGCCCAGCAGCACTTGGTCAGAAATGTGATGGCCCAAGGGAGGCAGTGGATTTGTTAGTGCTGCTGTACATGTCTAACAGTCACACGACCAGTTGGGGCTTCTTTTTGTTTTCTTGAGATAGTCCCTGTGCAGCCCTGGCTGGCATGGAGCTCCCTGTGTGGACAGGACTGACCTGGAACTCACAGAGATACTCCCAAGTGCAATTGGGGTCCCTTAATTCGAGCTGGAACTCAAGAAATGCTAGTGTGTTTGTGAAGTTGGAGTATGCTTGCCTAAGCAAATGAACTTTCGAGAACATCGGCCAAGTATGTGTAGCTCAGAAATTGAATCCAGGCATTATGTTACTCATAATAAGGTAGTCTTCTAAGTGAATAGAGTTCTAGATAACCCCAACTCAGTTTACAAAATAGAGCTGTGCTTTAACCACTTCCATTGGCAATCTCGGGTGGACTCCCTTTGCAAACAGCATAGAGCGTTTATGGACTTTAGTTGGGTTTTTGTTGTTGTGGGTCTTTGTTTGTTTGTTTTGTTTTTCTAGACAGGGTTTCTCTGTAGCTTTGGAACCTGTCCTGGAACCAGCTCTTGTAGACCAGGCTGGCCTCGAACTCACAGAGATCCTGCATCCCAAGTGCTGGGATTAAAGCCGCCTGGCGGACTTTAGTTGTTTATTGTGTGGATGCTGACTTGCAATGTTTGGACGCCACCACAGATGGCAGGTCTTGCGAACATCTGAAATGTTATGATTGTGCACAAGTAGGAGAAAGGACCTGGGGCTTCCATCCATTTCCCAGAGCAGTGCAGCTTCTTTTAAGGAGCAGTAACGAAGAATTGGAGGCTAAATGGTGCTTGTCAGCATCTGTTAGCACACATTGCTTTGATGGAAGGACACTAGGAAATATCTTGGCTTGAGCAAATATAAGGTGAGTTTTCACATCTCTTCTCCTGAAAGTTGAATAAAATAGATACAACTTTTAAAACATTGTATCTTTTTTAAGTGTGTGTGTGTGTGTGTTGTATGCAGAGGTTTGGTTGCACATTGTGTGCCTGTGTGAGGGTCAGAGAAGGACGTAAGGTGTCCTGATCTACCTACTTTATCCTCTCACTGAACCTGGAGCTAGGCAGGCAGCCACCCCAGTCATCCTCCAGTCTCCTTGCCTCACAGTGCTACTGTTACTACACTCAGTAGCCACATCTGACCTTTTACATAGGCTCTGGGGAGGCGAACTCGGGTCCTCATGCTTGCATAGCAAGCAAGCTCTCTTATCTATTGATCCAGCTCCAGTTCCAGGACATTGTATCTTTCGGTAGGATGACTGAGTCAAAAGAATGAATGGACTCACCAGAATGTTCGTCATACCTTAGTGCCCTGTGCTCCTTTGACTGTCAGCTTTTACAGTGACCTTATTTTCATTGCTGTTACCGGGGCAAAAGACCATGGGCTTCTCCTCTCTGTTTATCCCATATCCCAGAGCACTGGAGAAATATTTGAGAAGTCATCTAGTCCCCTAATTGAAATAGATGAGGGAACTTCTATACTTTTTGCTTTTTCAGACAGGACTTCATTACAGCCCAGCTTCCCTGGAACCCCCAGTCTCCTAAGTACTCCGATTTCTGGTGTGCTTCACCACCCCCGCTGGAGGAGGAAACAAGGCTTAGGAAGGGAATTTACTTGCTAAGGGCCACCTAGGTGCCAAGCTGGGACATGACTCTGATTTTATTTCCATTGCAGTTTGCTCCTTCGTTGTTCTTCTATTTGTTCTTGCTAAGCAACCCTAAATGAGATCACATCCATTGTAACTGCTCCTATTTTGGCTTATCGTATTGCTCTAGGTGGTGCCAGCAGGTTTCTGTTTGAGCATATGCTGTGTGTCCCGCACACTGCTCACTTCCTAGGGCTAGTTTATTGCAGTGTATAAACCAGCTCATGTAATGCACTAGCGGGCATACAGCATGTGTTAAGCTCTAGATTACAGACCAGACTGTGAGTGCTGCTGGGCTGGGTCCTGCTGGTATTGGGCACATGCCTCCCCTCCCCCCCCCCCAACTTCAAAAGTGGTAATGTCACATTGGCAGCTTAAAGTCTGCTTTGCTGAGAGTTACTGGTAAACACTATAGGTCAGAAGTTCCCTGCCTCTTTCTTCTTCTCAAGAGCCATTACACTACTGACTTTAGAATTTAGAAAGGGGAAAGTTTAATGGGATAGGATTATCAACTGAGAGCTCCATTGAAACAGAAAGGCTAGTGATATGGGCAAAGCAGAAGGGTAGTTATGGGTCTGGAGAGGTGAGGGGGTACCAAGGAAAAGCTCAGATTACCCTAGAGGCAGTAGGAGAAAAGGTGTCAGCTTGTATGGAGCTTGAACTTGATGGATTTGGGCAAAAAAAAAAAAAGACTTCAAAGCATAAATCTTTTTTGTTAAACTGGAAAATTAACAAGGTAGCTGTACGGGATGTATTGTTTTAACCTGTGAAGTGCTACAGTAAGCTATGTGTGAGGCGTTGATGGAAACGGCAACAGAGACGTGCACTGAAGAGAGTAATGATTCAGGAGGCGTGGACTATTTAAGATAGCTTGATGAGACTAGAATAATGACTCAGTGGTTAGGAGTAATCGCATCGCTTGCAGGGGACTGAAGTTCATCTTCCAGCACCTGTACCTTTGGCTCCAGGGTGTCTGGTGCCCTCTTCTGGTGTTCACAGGTACTTGCACTCACATGCACACACACATATCTAGAATTAAAAATAAACTTTTAGATGCTATATTGTATGTCTCTGCACACATGCATAAGGTACCTGAAGAGGCCAGAAGAGGACGTTGGATCCCCTGGAACTTGAGTTACAAATGATTGTGATCAACCGTGTGGGTGTTGGGAATTGAATCCACTGCTCTTAACACTGAATCATTTCTCCAACCAAAATATTTTTTTAAGATGAACTCTGTAAGTTTCCAGTTGGAGGACTGCAGGAATGGCTGTTTGTTAGAAATAAGAAAGGTGGAAGGCAGGCATTGTGTGCATGCCTGTTTGTCCTAAGATCTGCGCTGAGGCAGGAGGGCAGGAGGTTTATTGCATGCTCAAGGCCAGTGTGAGCAACATAAGACCCCGCCATAAAGACACACATACAAAGCAGGAAGAACATAAGGGGAAACAGTCAGGAAGGCCCTCAAAGACCTCTTAGTTGGGCAGAGAGGATGTATTGCTGTGTTATAGGTATTACTATTCTGTTATCCTCTGACCTCTGCAGCAACACCATATCATGTGCATGCATACACATAAATAAATATAAAAAAAAACCAGAGCCAGCGGTGGTGATGCATGCCTTTAATCCCAGCACTTGGGAGGCAGAGACAGGTGGATCTCTGTAAATTGAGGCCAGCCTGGTCTCCAGAGCCAGTTTCAGGAAGTCTCCAAAGCTACAGAGAAACCCTGCCTTGAAAAAAAGAATAATACTAAAACAGATCTTTGAGACTAGTGGTAAAGGAAACCGTGCTGGTTAGTTTTTGTTAAATTGACAGAAACTAGTCATCTG